CCAAACGACTCATCTTAAAGAGAAACGTAATAACGGACATGGAATCCTAAATTCGGTGTTCTACCACGAATTCGATTTTGTCGAATTTGGGTTCGAAATGCACAAATTATAAGCTATATTTCAAATCAGTACACTTGATTAACTTCTGGCAAACCTCAAAAATAACGAAAAGCTGCAGGGTTACCAATTTAACTATCTTTAAACAATCTTATTTTATTTCAGTTGTATGTTAAAGATACTTCAGGTGGAACAACTGTTCTAGAAAAGGTTAAATTTTCAGATACACTTGAGGTTATTAAGTGTGTGGTTGAAATGAAGTTGGGAATACCTACGTTTGAACTAGGGTTTGACCCCGACCCCGTACCCCGAACCCCGACCCCGTTCCCGAACGATTTTTTCACGATTCTCCCCGACCCGAACCCCGCCCCGAAAAAAAGTGAAAACCCCGTACCCCGACCCGAAAAGTTTCGGGGTTATCGGGGTTTTATATACCCAAAAAATGCCATTTTTGGGAGAATTTTAAGAGAAAAATTTTAAAAATTTACTCCCAATTTACTTTGCCTTTATTATTTTTGAAAGAAAAATAAAAGAAATATTAAAATTCTTTTTCCTGATCTGTAAAGAGACTTGTGGTTGAGTGGCTTAGTTGTTGGTTTTAGCCTATATTTCCGTTAAAATAGGATTGGGTTCGGATCCAAATAAGCTGGACTCGTTTTTTTGTGATTTTTTTTTGCAACATTAAGAGCTTAATTTTAATTTAAAATGTAAATCTTATTTTTAAACATTATCAACCATAAAAAACAATGTAAAGATTTTTGTTTAGCTAAAATTTCAAAAATTCTAGTGTGCAGCGCTAAAAAACGAAGACATACGGCTTTTTGACCTAAAAATCAAACGGCTTTTTGGCTTTTGACCTAAAATACGGCTTTTTGACCTAAAAATCAGCTTCTTGGCCTTATAAAATTCTCAAAATTTTGCATGCGGTGCAGAAAAGAAAGAGATACCCTGATATCCTCCAAATCCCTAATCACTCAATAACCCTTAAATCAATGATATCTCTTGAAACTACCCTTAGTCCCTACAATTCCTCTTATATCCCCAGATATCCGCTTTAATCCCTCCAACTCCTCCTTAATCACCTCCAGATCCAATTAATCACTCCAATTTCTCTTATTTCCATTTAATCCCACCTTATTCTCATTAATTTGTGAATAAATTAACGAAAATAGACCCAAAACGGCTTATTTTTGAATATTTTTTTCACTAAAAATTTTTTCCCTAAACCCCCGTACCCCGACCCGAACCCCGAGTGTATTTTGCTCCCCCGACCCGAACCCCGCCCCGAAACAATTCGAAAACCCCGTACCCCGACATACCCGCCCCCGAGCGTTCGGGGTCAAACCCTAGTTTGAACAACGTTTGGTTTGTAAATTAAAATTACCCCCTTCTAAATTAAATAAATAATTTAATAAGAATTTATGTCTCATTTTTGGAAGCCTCTAAATCAGTTGCTCTCGTTCCAAAATCGCCGAGAACTAGAGACCGACCAATATTTTTATATATTACCCGATTCGATATTAATTAAAATAATTTTTAGATTTTCGCTGGCAAGCAACTTGAAGATGGACGTACAATGGCTGATTATAATATAAAGGATGGTTCAACTTTGCATCTTGTTAAGCGTTTAGTCGGTTGCTGATGTTATGTTTTTTGGAACAGAAAAATGTTGAGAATTTTTAAAAATATGAGTTGTTTTTGAATAAATTTATTTTTGATTCAAAATGTTCTACATATAAACGAATTTTGATAAAATTTGTTGGTTTCTCTGATTTTCACTTGTTATCCAAATCGAAACTTAAATTATGATTTTCCATGCTAAACATTCAATATACAAATTTTCTTGACAATTTTTTTGAGTTTTTAATAAAATTTTTAGTTTTGGATGAGCTTTATGTTTGGATGGCTCAAATTTAGTGTGTTTGTTTAAATGCTTCCAATTGCCTAAAAGTGAACTAAAAATGAAATAGTAAAATTTTTATTTGGCCAACAATCATTTTACTAGTCTTGTTTACATTAATTTCTAAATTTTAATTTTTTTGATGGAATTTTATTTTTTGTGTTGATAACTCTCTCCTTTATTTATTCGAATGCTTAACTGAAAAAAGAGAAAATTAAAGCCGATATTTAATTTAAAGGTGTTCATATAGTCTACAGCCAGCATCTTCAGTTGACAAGACTTATGCTTTATCCATTAATAACGCCGGCTCCTGTATAGCTTTAGGATATATGCTTTACAATATACCTAAGTACATATCATATATTCTTTTTTTGCTCGTTAATAAAAATTTCACAAAATCTTTTTATTTACTCTGAATAGCCTAAAATTTGCATTCGCAAAATCTTAACATTGTTCTAAAATTTTCCTAGGCAATTTAAAATTTAATATAGTGTCATGTTTAATTAAATAAATCTATGGATTCAATGCCAGTTGGTAGCTCAAATGCTTCTAAACTTTTTGCTCTTTTCTTCCATATTTATTTCAAAATATTTTTTCTGTACATATCTGTATTTCTTTTCTATTTGTCTTTTCATTTTCTTTTTCAATCTTCAATTCCGAGTGCCATATTCCCACAAATTTTCATATTTTTGAGCGGCTGCATCTGTTTTGACATTTTGTAAAAAACCACCCTTTTTCGGAAAAATTTCTGCTTTCAATTTGCTCAATTAAATTAAAACTAGTGAAAAATGTACAGAATAAAGCTTTATACATACATATTTGAAATTTTAATTATTTTTAGATGGTTAAACATTTTTCGAACCATTTTTGAGTGACCGCGCCCTATTTTCTTTTTTCTAACGTTTTACCAACGGTTAAGGACGATTCAGTATCGCCGATTCAGTATATGGACATAACTTTCCTGATATTCGACCGATTCGAATAATTCTCGTATCATTCGAAAGGACTCGTGATTCGACATCTTTTTCATAATTGGCCCGATCAGATCTGACGATCCCAAAAAAATTTATAGCATGAAAACCGATTTTTTCTGCCTGTGACGTGTTTATCAGTGATAACTTTTTGAGAGTGATCAGATCAGGTCAGTCCAATTATGTAAAAGATGCAGCACCCCGAGGCCTATCAAATTATATATAATAATTCCTACGATATTGATCGAGCAAAAAGTTAGGGCCAAAAAGCCCAAATACTGAATCGGCCAATACTGAATCGTCCCCTACCCTTTTACCAATTGTTTTTTATATTTGAATTAAATTTCAGATATTTAAATGTCTTCTACTAAATTTATTTGTGTTATTTGTTCCGAACCTTTAACTTACAAAAATATTTATTCAATTTCATGTGGACATGTATTTCACATTGATTGTATTAAAAATTGGATCCTCCAAGTAGAGAAATTAAATTTATTAAATTTATTTTTTCCATTTTAGAAAAATTATTGCCATAAATGTTGGAAAAATGCAGTTTTGAGTGATATTAGACAAATTTTTCTTGAAGAAGTATCTCCTTGTAGTTCAGACAATGTACAGAGTAAATCAGAATCAAATACAATAAAGGTAGATTCCAAGAATAAAAATAATGTTTTGAGATTATAAAGTGAAGACTAAAAAAATATGGAAGATATAATTTTTATGGCGCACTAACGGCTTAACTGTACTTTAGTATAGAAACACAGACTGGAAAACTCCAAGTATATATCATTAAATTTCTCTCGACGAGCTTAGTTCAAATATGAAATTCTTTTTTTAGGAAAAAAACTCACATAGATATAGGCTCATAAATATTGAAAAAGCAGGGAGAACCAAGGGATTTTTGGGGTAAAAAATTCGATTATTCAAATTTTGCTCATTCGAAAGAGACCGATTCAATTAGATTTAACTTTTTTAAAAATTTTTATTTTATTTCAGTTATATATGAAAGTTATTGATATTATTGAGCCAATAATTCTCGTCAAAGTGAAAACCTTTGATAAAATTGAAATTATTAAGTGTATGCTAGAAATCAAGACTGGAATACCGCCGTCTCAACAGCGTTTGGTTTGTAAATTAATTCGAAAAATAAATTAAATTATTATTAAATTTATAAGTTATACCCTGATATAAATAAAGGAATATTAATTTTTGAAAAAAAATTTTTTGGAAACTTCTAGAACAGCTCCCGGAAGCATTTTTTGTAAGGGGATTAAAAGGGATGTCGAGGATTAAGGAGGAAATAAGAGAATTTTCGGTATTAAAAGGAATTAGTCTATTTGTTTGATACCGGAGAATTTGGATGAAAAAGCGTGGGATTAAGTGAAATGGATCGGTTAAGAGTAAAAATTCTCGGAGCAATTTTGATCAATAATATTCATATAATCTTTTAAATAAATATCAGCCAATATTTGATTTGATATTAATTAATAATTTTTAGATTTTCGCTGGTAAGCGACTCGAAGGTGACCGTACAATTGATGAGTATAATATAAAGGATGGTTCGACTATGCACGTTGTTAAGGGTTTAAGAGGTTGTTGATGTTATGTTTTGCAACAGAATGTTAAGAAATTTTTAAAATTTGAATAAATTTTTTTCATACAAAATGTTTTCTAACAAAATTGTTACATTATTTTTTTATTAAAATTTGTTAGCTCTCGCTGAAGGAAATAATTATTTGACAAAGACTATTTTCGGCTTCTATTCAATCTTAATTAACAAGCAATCAAATATTTATTGGGCTTCCGCACTAAGGTTGTCGGTCGGATCCGGAACCGAAAAAAGGCCGGATATCCGTTAATTTTCGGTTCGGATATCCGAAGCCTTCCAACTATCCTACTTCTACCCTATACAAATACACATGTCAGTGCGTATAAATATTGTTAGTATTTTTAATATCAGCATGGAACAAAAAAAAAACTCCGAAACAGGATACAGTCTCTAGCATAAATAATATTTAGTTAAAATTTTTTGAAATCGATGCTATAAATAAAAATTAAAAAAACAAATTCATTTAATTATAAAATTCCTCAGCAAATAAATGTTTAGAAACGTCAAAACAAAATGGTTTAGCATCCAGATCGTTGCCAAAGTTTGCTTCAATAGAAAGGCAATTTAAACTTAAATATAAACTAAAATAATCATCACTTTCTTCTTTCAATAATACTGCTTTACCTTTAATAATAATTTTTAATTAAAAATATATTTATCTTTTTCTTACCAATCTGATTTCCATTTTGTGTAAAGAAAACATAAGGATGTTTTTCTATCATTTTTGTTGGTGGAAAAACTAATCCACATCCAAGAATATCTCCAGCGTTCCAAGAAATAGGAATTTGAAATGAAACCTTTTCTTTACCTAAAGGAACTGGAGAATACCAAATATAACCAGCATTTCCCAATACAATATATCCTTTTGTATTTCGAAAACCAAACGATGAATAATCAGTTCCAATTGTTCTGATTTTAATTTCATAATAATAAAGTATTGAAGCAAAAATGCAATCATTTTTTCGTTTATTTAATTTATTTTTTGCATCGAGTTGTGCCTTCTTGTTTTCACCTAAATTAATAGATATTTTTAGTAGCCCCTCAAAATATACCTTTCCCTTCAATACATTTATTATATTCAACATCAGTATCATTAATTATTTCAATATATCCATTTCCATTTTTGCATTTACCAGTTGGTTTATCTGTATTTACACAATCATCTTCACAACATTTGTATCTATCATCAATTTCCTCCCATTTATTTTTGATTTGTATATATTTATTTCTAAATAATTTATTTATTAAAGTACCCAAATTACTAACCGGTCTTTTAAGAATAAAATAAATTAAATTTTCTTGTTCTTCTGTTAATTTGATAATTTTCTTATTCAAAGCGTCGATTGATTCATTTCCCTTTAATTTAAATTTATATGTACGTACATACATACAGTAGTCGACATAAAGATACGGAAAAGAGTAATTGAAATGAAAATTAGCTATTTCTGGGTCAAAAAATACGTTCTATATAGCAATCGAAAGCTCTATTCGTATCTCAGTTGACATTTTTCTGCATTTTTCATGAAATTGAAAATTGGCCGAGATAATCCGGATCTACCGGATATACCAAATCCCATAGCCTCGGAAAAAATTTTCGGAAAAAAATTAACAAACCCACTTGATAAAGCATATTTTTTTGAGTATTTTCCACAAAACCGTTTAGAAATATCTTTTTCCGATTCCAGAGGTATGATTTTTTGAAAATTGCATTTTTCGTCAATTTTTGCAAAAAATTCAATTTTTAAGAGAAAAATGCGATTTTCAAAAAATCATATCTCTGGACCGGAAAAAGATATTTTTAAAGGTTTTGTGGAAAATACTCACAAAAATATGCTTTATCATTTGGGTTTGTTAAATTTGTTCCGAAAAATTTTTCCGAAAAAATGGGATTTGGTATATCCGGTAGATCCGGATTATCTCTGCCAATTTTCATTTTCATGAAAAATGCAGAAACATGCCAGCTGAGATACGAATAGAGCTTTCGATTGCTATATAGAACGTATTTTTTGACCCATAAATAGCTAATTTTCATTTCAATTACTCTTGTCCGTATCTTTATGTCGACTACTGTATGTATAATTCTAGCTCTTCAAAATTTATTTCAAAGAAAATTTATTTCAAAATATTCTTTATTCTTTTTTCGTTTTTATTGGGTAGTCTTTATTAGGGATCGCCGTAGAACAGGACCCTGCACAGGATTTTGCAGGATCCTGTCCGAAATCCTGCCTTTTTCAGTTTTGATGATTTTCAAGATTAATCCTTCAGGATCCTGTCCTTTCGAAATATTAAAATCCAATTCTTATACAGGATCCTGCAAATTCGATTTTACCGATCTCTAGTCTTTATAATATCTCGTTTTTAGAATACAATCCAAAGTTAATTATGATTAAGCGGACAAAGGATGACTCATTTATTATTTAACAACCGTTTTAGTTTGTAGATCCAAAGAAATAATTTTCCCTTCCTTCTGTTGAACATTTTCCTCCAATAACTTAATTTTATTTAAATTTTCCTTCTCATTTTGGTTAATTTTTGTCTCCAACGATTGAATTATTTGATCTGTCTAAATAAATTTTTTAATATTTTTATTATTAAATTTTTATTTAATTTTAATCACAGAGCTAATATTTCTCAAAATTAACAATAATTTCTTCAAAAAAATATTTAAATGCCCACCCTTTTACTTCAATTATAAATTTAATCTGCAAACCCAATCAAAAGACGTATTCAATTAATAATTTACCTTTTGTTTTTTCACACTTAATTGTTCAAATTCAAAAATTAATTCTTCATTTCTTTTATTAGAAGAAGAATTCATTTCAAATAACTTTAAAGAAATAAATTATTAGATTAAAACTTAGCATGATACTATAAGTTAAACTTGGAATTTCCAGGCTTTCCCCTGTTTAATTCATACCTCTGTTCAGTCTCGGTGTTTTAACAAGCTATGTTAAATACTAAATAGGATCCTAAAACCTACATATAATATGCTCAAGAATTATAGTAAACTCGGAATTTAGATAGGATTTTTTAAATTTGTTTTTCCACTGGCTATGGGATGCTATGCATTTAAGACACAGGTTGGCATTCTAGGAATCCTATTTAATTTTATTCGACTCATCTATATGAGAGGAATTACTTAATACACAGGGATTTGGTGAACCTTAAAAAGTATTAAGTATTTTTTAATTAGTTTAAGTATAATTAAAATCCACAATAACTTACCTGTTTAATAGCTCCTTCTAATGAAGTTATTTTTACTTCTTTTTCACTAATAATTTCTTCCAAATTCTCAATTTTGTTTTTATTTTCCTTCTCCAATTGTTGATATTTTTCTTTATTTTCTTGTTTTATAATTTTTATATTAGCCTCATTTTCTGTCTTTATCTGCTTAATTTGATTTTGAAATTCCAAAAAATTTTTATTATAATCAGCTTGCATATCACTCACTTGCTAAATTTAAAATAAGAATTATAATAACTTTTTATTTTTAACATTTAATAGTTTCGGGCCAAGAAAAATATAATTTAAAAAACGATGAAAGAAGGAGAACTTAATTGCAAGAAAATGGGAATTGACAGGAAATGGTTTTTTGATTTCCGTGATTGTCTCCTGCGCTCGTCTGTGAATTGAATCGAGTACCGAAATTTTTTACTTTTCAGAGAATTTTCTAAAGATTTTTCACGGTTTTTGGACATTGCTTAATAATTCGCATAAAAAATACTTATTACTACTACATACTTGATAATATTTTTATAAAAATTTCAAATAAATTAACTTTAATAACCAAAACATTTAGTACCTTTTTCATTTCCCCTTCCAACAAATTTAATTTTTCATCTTTCTGTTGAATTATTTGCTCTAAATTTGAAATTTTGTCTTTATTTTCTTCCCTTATTTCTTGTATTTTTAATTCCAAAGATTGATAATTTTCTTTAAATTTTTGTTCTAGATTTTGAAATTTTTCTTTTTCTTTGTCGGTTATTTCCTTTTGGAAAAGTTTAATTTTTTGATCAAAGCTATTTTGAATATATGTCAAATTTTTATCATTATCCACCTCTAATTTATTCATACACTAAATATAAAAATTTAGGAGCTCCTTATTATTAGGTTTGCCAAAATGGACCGACTCGGACCGAAAGATCGAGTTGGGCATAAGATATTTGGCCGAGAAAAACTTGTACGGCCGACTTGATAAAAATGAAGCCCGAAAAATTGGTTCGACCGCCGGCCCGTCTCGAAAACGGGAATTCTACTTGTTATAGTATACCCAAACCCGTTTATACGACTTTAGTTTATTTTTCAACCCCAAAAGAGTAAGTTGACTGTAATTTTTAGTAAAAATTATTTTAACAAGATTTAATAAAATTAAATATTTTTAATAATCCAAAACTAAACTATAACCTTCTTCATTGCCTTCTCCAAAGAATTATTTTTTTCAATAATTAAATTATAATTTTCTTGAACTTTCAAAACGTTATTGCCTAATTCAAGCATATTTTGCTAAAATTTTTAATTTAAAAATAATTTACTTAATTTTTAAAAATTACCATAAAGTTTGAATCAGAAATTGACGAATTGTCAACCATTTTTTAATTTAAAATTTTCTAAAATTATTTTTATTATTTTGAGGTATGGGAGGAGGGTGGATGTATTTTAGAGAGTTTTGGATTGGATAAATAAATGGAATAAAGGATAAAATTTAGGGGAAAATTGAATATTTTAAATTAAATTAGGGGCTAATTATATTTCACCAAGACTAATTCTCCCCTCGTTTTGAATTATTTTGTCTTGGAAATGAGAATCCCGGGTTATCTAGACAATAATTAAATTTATTAATTTAGAAACAGAAGAAACAAAAACGAACATTAAAATAATGTAAAAAATGATTTGTAAAACTAAATTTATATAAAAAATTTTCTTCCTTGAATGTATTAAGGGTAGGGTTTGACCCCGAACGCTCGGGGGCGGGTATGTCGGGGTACGGGGTTTTCGAATTGTTTCGGGGCGGGGTTCGGGTCGGGGGAGCAAAATACACTCGGGGTTCGGGTCGGGGTACGGGGGTTTAGGGAAAAAATTTTTAGTGAAAAAAATATTCAAAAATAAGCCGTTTTGGGTCTATTTTCGTTAATTTATTCACAAATTAATGAGAATAAGGTGGGATTAAATGGAAATAAGAGAAATTGGAGTGATTAATTGGATCTGGAGGTGATTAAGGAGGAGTTGGAGGGATTAAAGCGGATATCTGGGGATATAAGAGGAATTGTAGGGACTAAGGGTAGTTTCAAGAGATATCATTGATTTAAGGGTTATTGAGTGATTAGGGATTTGGAGGATATCAGGGTATCTCTTTCTTTTCTGCACCGCATGCAAAATTTTGAGAATTTTATAAGGCCAAGAAGCTGATTTTTAGGTCAAAAAGCCGTATTTTAGGTCAAAAGCCAAAAAGCCGTTTGATTTTTAGGTCAAAAAGCCGTATGTCTTCGTTTTTTAGCGCTGCACACTAGAATTTTTGAAATTTTAGCTAAACAAAAATCTTTACATTGTTTTTTATGGTTGATAATGTTTAAAAATAAGATTTACATTTTAAATTAAAATTAAGCTCTTAATGTTGCAAAAAAAAATCACAAAAAAACGAGTCCAGCTTATTTGGATCCGAACCCAATCCTATTTTAACGGAAATATAGGCTAAAACCAACAACTAAGCCACTCAACCACAAGTCTCTTTACAGATCAGGAAAAAGAATTTTAATATTTCTTTTATTTTTCTTTCAAAAATAATAAAGGCAAAGTAAATTGGGAGTAAATTTTTAAAATTTTTCTCTTAAAATTCTCCCAAAAATGGCATTTTTTGGGTATATAAAACCCCGATAACCCCGAAACTTTTCGGGTCGGGGTACGGGGTTTTCACTTTTTTTCGGGGCGGGGTTCGGGTCGGGGAGAATCGTGAAAAAATCGTTCGGGAACGGGGTCGGGGTTCGGGGTACGGGGTCGGGGTCAAACCCTAATTAAGGGAAAACTGTAAAAATTATATAAAGGAATGGAATGACCAAAAACTTTTAAAATATTGCTTCAGACAAATTTATTTAAAAAAATTGTTGAGAAAAGCAATAAAAATCTTTAAAAAAAGGGGAAAAATTGATAAATATGTAGGGAAAATATCTATTAAATAAACTTTTTAGTAGGTCAACTTTCCTAAGAAGTAATTAAGTTAAGGCAATTCAGCTATGCAGTTCAAAAGTAAATTGAAAATAAGTAGGTAAAAAGTTGATAGGTCAAAGATTCTCGTGTTATAATCCTGTTCTAACATTTAATAGTACATCTGGCAAAAACATTTTTTCTTTTCCGAGAATCGGGGGTTTGTATTTTACGCTCATGCCGGATCGAATACAGCCAGCTTTTTTCCTATTAATTAATATAGTTCGAAATTAATCTGTAGATGGCGAAAAAACACGGATCTGTGACTCGGAATCAGCTAGATATCGGGCCAATAACAATTACGGAGACAATCGAAAAACGATAGTAGTATATTTTTCACGTTTATTGTTCGGATACATCGTTTGTACAAAAAGTTTAATTTATGTACAAGTACAATGAAGTATTCTTCCTATTTAATTTCCGTATGCAAAATTTTGTGAATTTTAAGATTAAATTTAATTTTTAACCAAGAAATCTAGTTATCAGTACGTACAAATAAGTATGTACATTTTCAAGTTCGTAAGTACGAAGCTCAATTTGATGTACTTTACTCAGGGTGGCCCTTTCCAAAACACTAAAATAGGGCGCAGCCACTCAAAAATAGGGCAAAAATAGGGCGAAATCGGCCAGAAATAGGGCAAAAAATAGGGTATTATTTAAAAATCTTAGAAATAATTGAAATTTCAATTAAAAAGCTTTATTCTAAATTTTTAAACTAGGTTTAACTAAATTGAGCAACTGGAGGAATATAGGGAGATTTTGAGCAATTATTAATGGAATTGGGGTTAACAGAGTTATCTAGGGGATTTAGGATCAAGAAAGTTATCTAAGATGGATAAATGGTTAGAAACTTGTATCTAGGGATTTGTGAGGATTCAGTGGATTTGGGGGTAGTAGAAACATCGGGTATATTTTACGTCCAATTTTGGTGGATTAACAATAAGTGCTGGGATTGGGGGATTAAGAGAGATATCGAGGCACTTGGGGATTAATCCACGATGTCCCTTCATATACCCTTAATTATTATAAATTATATCCAACTGTCTTCTATCCACCTTAATCCTCGCATGCACCATTAAGCTCTCAAATCCATTGATATCTCTCATTGATATCTCTCTTTATCATACAAACCCCTCGTTATCCAGTCAGACCCCCATAATCCTAGTAAATCCTCCTAAATCGTCTACAGTAAAATCTATAGTAAAACCTATATTCCACTCAAGCCCTTCCAATCTCTCAATTTCAGACAAAAGTCTTCACAGATTCTTCCTTTTCAGCGCCGCAGGCAAAAATTTTGAGAATTTTGTAAGGCCAAGAAGCCAGATTTCTTCCTTTTTTGCGCCGCAGGCGAAAATTTTAGGCATTTTGGAAGCCGTGAAGCCAGATTTCGTACTTTTTCTGCCATTTCATTTACAAAATTTTAAAATTGTAAAAATTTTACAAAACGGTAAAAATAGGGCAAAAATATGGCAAATGTAAAAATAGGGAAAAAATAGGGCGGAAAGGTCGAAAATAGGGCAAATGCCCTGTAAATAGGGCAAAAGGGCCACCCTGACTTTACTTGAAAAATAAGTAATCGGTACCCTGTTTTAACTTGTTAAACTGAGATTCCTTTGATATAATTTATACATTTTGACTGATCAAAAGATACTTTTTCCTTTTCAGAATAAAATATTAAATATTCATTAACAAAAAATTCCTTTTAATTAAATATAATTTTTCCATCAATAACATCCTTCACCACATTCTCATATGATTCAAATTTGCAATAAATTCCCAATGCTGCCATTCTAATCGCTAAAGGGTTTCTTGATCCTTTCAAATATTTTTTCTCAATTTCCGACAATTTTTCTTTTTTCTCTTTTAAAAGGAGTTTCTCGAAATTATTTGTTGCCATTTCTTTAAAATCATTATCATCCAATTCTTCCAGTCCATTAACTTCTTCTAAATCCCTCTTCTTCCTTCTTCCACTACAACCTCTTTTTCTTCTTCCAACTTCCTTCCCATTTTCCCATCCACAACCCCACAACCCTCTTCTTACTCTTCCACCTGAAAATATGATATTGACTTGTCTGGAAAAATCACTGAATATTAGGAATTGATATCCAAACTGGATCTATTCTTATATCCTCCGGGGATCGTTATCGTATATGCTTGATAATCACTCTTTATAATTATATCGGTGGAGGGGTTAAAAATTACCCACTCCTCACGCTGGAAGGTACTGCATAACTCTTGTATTTGAGAGAAAAAATTTAGTGTGAAAATTTATTTTGCTCATTTTTAGTTTTGTGTTTCATTGTTAATTTCTTCTTCATTTTGTCTTTCCTAAACCGAATACTGGAAAATTACCAACACTACCTGGAAAGGCTGCCTGTCGAAAATATTTACATAACTCCTTTGGAACTGTATAATTTTTGTTTTCCTCGAAGAATTTATAAATTAATTTAATCAACTCCAAACAATGTTCTTTGTGAAATTGAAGGTGTTCTTCAAAGTTTGGATTGTCTTCTTGTAATATATCGATACAATGAATTCCGTGAGTGATTAAAACAGAAATTGAAGTAAAATCCTCTCTAGGCCAAGGAAGGCCGTCTTTGCAGGATGAAAAAATTAAATTTTTATTTGGATTGCATGAAGATGGCGTTTCTTTATTTAAAATTGTTAAAAGTGATTGGATTTGTAAAAATATTAAAGTAAAAATTAATAAAATAAATATTTTGGTTTTAGATGACATTTGTAAAATTTTGGGGAGAATTTAAGTTTTAAAGAAAACTTTTTTTAATCGGTAAATAACTTTGACTAAAAAATCATTTTTGTGTAATAGAACGCGATATTAATATTGTTTATTGATCAGTTCAAAATTTATTAATGGGCAAATCAGCAAAATGTTTATGTTTAAAAATATTACTTAAAAAATAATACCTATTTTGTAAAGGAATGATTGATCAAGAACTAAAACAATTTTATAGTTTGTGAAATAAACTTTTGTATTATTATTAAATTGCTTAAAAAACCGACAAATATTTTGATAGAATTTGCTAGAACTCTAATTAATGGACATTTAGTCTGTTATATAAATTATTATTATTTCAGGAACAATATTTATACAAAAGCGTTTACGGAATAACGAAGATACTCGTTATCGAAAATAGTGAAGGTAGCATGCAAGATTATTGTTGATATATTGTTGAAGCAAAATTTTTTTTAAATGTTAAGAATTTTTAAAAATATGAATGATTTTTTATTAGGGTTTTGATACAATTTTTTTGAACATAAAACTGGTTTATCACGTCTTTGATAAATTTGTTGGTATTAAAAATGGTTTAAAATTTTGATTAAACTGTTTGTAGCATATGTGCATTTATTAAAGAATTAAATAAAAGTATAATTTTCTATAAAATTTTAAATTAAGATACTATAATAATTTAAATTAATTTCCATCATTTTCTGTGTCCTTTTGCGGATGACAATTAATATGAGTGACGAGAATCCATTCACCTTCGGGGTTCTGCCAGTACCATTTGGCTTCATCGGATCCAATCAATTTCTAAATGTAACTTTTAATTAAATCACATAAAATGAAAGGACCTTGCAACGGAAAAATGCTCCATAACCACAATATTTAATGCGATCCTTCCCTGTGTAACAATCCCAGAATTTAACTTGAATATGACCGTTTATCTTAAATAGTTGTCAATTAATTACTTGGAACTTCTCGATAAACATACAGTTAATCTTTTACCATCACCAGTACAAAGAATATCAAGTTTTGGCCCGTTAAGTGGTTCATCTACAACCTTTCTTAATTCGGAATCTGGGTGACCTTTTTCGTCGATAATTGACTGATTGACGTTTTTACATGTATTTGCCGGAGTTGAAGGTGTAAGTTCTAAAGAATTAATAAATACACCTCTATGAGCAAATATTATCGAATATGTATAACCTGCTAGGTAACCAATAATTGCCTTTCCTTTACCATGCTTTGTTATAATAACTTCTGTGTCCGACTCGGCTTTTATAACAATAGGCATTAGACGACTACCACAACAAAGTTGGGCTCCTAAATATTTATTGAATAATTTACATCATCTTTTCTTGATTGCTGCTGTTGTCTCACTTTTTAGGATTATCCACTGTAAAGCCTATAGCTATTTAATTACCGTAAATACTATAATTGAAGCCCACCTCTTGTAGAAGCCCACCTCTAATATAAGCTCATCTGAGGAGACCCATTGAAAAATATTAGTCCTGAGCTTCAATTAGAGTAATTACGGTAATAAGGCTATCCATAAGGCTTTCCATATCTTTGCGATTCTTGATCTGACTTCCGAACCAAAGATTTACGAATATATCTTATCTTTTTCAGATCCAGATATCGGGATCTGTCAACCTTAATAAGAGGAATATCGTTATAATTTACCGGCTGCAGATTTATCCTTATTGTATTGTATTTCAATGTAATTTTCACTACAAGGATAACTGCATTTAACTCCATCCAATTTCTCTACACTTACAATTGTGTATTTTGATGGAATTCTATCATTACTTTTAACGTTACGCTGAATATTAAATATTTTTTATAGTTTGTAAGACTGGTTCATACTTTTACAATCCAAAAATAATCTCCTTTATCATCTACTTTAAAATATTGCTTTGTAGTCGTAGGTGTTAATATTATTGCCTTGCTGTTTTTATCTGAGATTAAATATGAAAAATGGAGAATACTGGGTAATTCCAATCTAATAAATATGTATTATGTATATACAGGGCTGCACGCAATCGAAAAAAAGATTCCGCAACTCGCAATTGCAAAAAACCCCGCAATTTACGCAATTTCCGCTTAAGATTAAACTTCAAACTTAAGTTAAATTATGGTGAAGTGTCAATAATATTTCGAGGTTTTCTGGTAATAAGCTATGATCATTTGCTACGAGTTAGGCAGTAGATAAGTGGGATTTAAGGGATTTTAGTTTAATAAGGATTTACGTTTTGTGGGAATAAGGAAGGATTGAGAGATATTGGGGGATTTGGAGGATTTAGTGAACTCCCTACTCATCCAGACTGTGTCAATATCAAAAAGACTATCCAGGTTTCGCCCCGATAAAATTTAATTTAAATTCTATCAATTACATTTATACGATGTGCATCTATTCCCATCATATCCGGGAGGACAGCGACATTTGCATTTATCCATTGGGTCTGGATAACCGCCATTTTTGCATTTTCCATTATTTAATTTATAATCCTCTGGATTACATTTAGCATAATTAGCAATATGTGGATTGTTGCTTGTACCTATATAAAAGTAATAGTTACATATTATTAAATAATTACTAAAAAAATTTTCCAATGTTTTTTAATCTAGGACATACATAGATATAATTTGTCTATAATCATGCAAGTGTTACTACAATAGTATGAGTAGGGTTGCGCGAGGTCGAGGTTTTTCGAAAAAACCGAGACCGAGGATCACCAAGACTGAAAAAGCTAGGTTCGAGGTCGAGGGTCAAATTTCAGGCGAGGTCCGAGATCGAGGTTCGAGGATAACCGAGGATTTTAAAAAAAAATGTAATCTTTTGAAAATTTTATTAAATTAGCTAAATTTTATCTGATATATGCTAAATAACTTCAAATTAATAAGTTCCATCATATTCAGATCCTTTAGGTACCAAATATAGATCAGACAACTCATATTCTTGGTCAAATAATTGCAAAACTTTGATCAAAATTTTCAAATACTTTGGAATCCCAATACCGCCCAACTCTACTTTGGAATAGAAATTTGATGAGTCTGGAAATCAAATCATTTGATACTTTGAAACTATTTGATCATCTGGTACAGCGGATTAAGACATATCGAAGAATCAATGGGAATGGCCAATAGGAATAAGGGGGCTTGAACGCATTAATTGGAACAGCAGGCGAAACAATGAGCAGGCGAAAATCTTTAAAATTTTTGGAATCAAACCAGAGTTCTTGCCTTTCCAGCGCAGCAGGCGAAAATTTGAAATTTTTGGTAGGCCAAGAAGCCAGACTTAATTCTTTTTTGCGCCGCAGGCGAAAATTTTGAGATTCTTGGAAGCTCAATAAGCAAAAATTCTTCCATTTCATCCAAAAAAGTCTATTCTTAGGGGTGTATATTTAGCCTCGTTCCTCGGCGAGGTTATTGGCGAGGATCGAGACCGAGGCTCCGAGGCCGAGGACCGGTCGAACCGAGACCGAGATTGGAAAATGGGCGAGGACCTCGACCTGGCGCAACCCTAGTTATGAGTCAAGTATTTGGAACTAACAGTATTATTTTCGTTAAAATTTAAATTTTATTTAAGAAAAATAGATAATCTTTATATTCTTACAATATACTAGATTTAGAATTTTTGCATCTTTAAAGGAGATGTCAATTCGTTGTCCCATTGTCGACTGATAATCACGCATTAAAGAAATAATTTCGAATCTTAAATCGAATATTATAGTTACATATTATAGTGTTATTATAGTATCATAATTATAGTGTGATATTAATTAAATTCCATTTAATTAAAGGTTATCGAACAAAAAACCAAAATAATTTCCTAGCCAGCCGGGACGTGGTTCTCTTAATAATAAAACTAGAGATCGGACCGTACCGTATTACGGCCGTATTTTTCGGTATTTATCGGTATTCCGTATCGGTAGTACGGTACGGAATACGGTACGGCAACATTTTGAATTTCATCGGTATTTTTCGGCATCGGTATTTTTCGGTATTACGGTACGGAATACGGTACGGAACAAAATTCCGATCTCTAAATAAAACAGGGCCGCGGAAAACATACATGCCAGAACTAGAATCTTCTGGAGGATAATGCATAACCGAACCATAATCATATCGTTGATTAAACTGTTTTGTATCGTTCAATCGGTGGTATTGTCGTTTCATCTAAAAATTTTAAATATGAATTGATTAAATACCGTATTTTCACACTCCAGTTGAATGCTATTTTAATTGAATGCCCACTTGGAAGATGATTAAATTATAAGATGCCAGGGCTTTCAATTAGAGGAAATACAGTAAATTAATAACATAAACGCATTAAAAATCCGAAAAATTAGAAACAGCGTTAAAGTAAAATTCTAATAAAAATTAATCGTGGACCGCCATTTGTGATCCTAAATTGAACTAATCTTGAGAACTAAATTAGGTAATTATTTTTCGAACTAATTGTCTAAAAAAATTCGGATCTAATAATAATACGAAAATACATCGTCGCTGATGTCTTTAAAGTTAATCCAAACAGATCCATTGCGGTCAGCACGAATCATCTCATGATGAAAACCCAAAGCATGCATAACCTCATGTGCAACTGTTCCAACCTAAAAATATTTTTTATTGTTTTTGTCCATATTTTATCTTCAAATTTTAAAAAGTTTTTTAAATTTTTTAAATAGACAGGTCGCCTGGTCGGTCGCCTTCTGGCCGATCATCATCAGAGATGCGCGCATTAAAAATTTCCGCAAACGCAATCCGCAAGCCGGAATTTTAATTTTAAAATCCGCAAACGCAATCCGCAAGTCAAAAAACGAACCATTTATGGTGCGTGAAATACGAAAAAATCCTAAAAATCTGCAATTGCAATTCAAAAAAAAAACATCCACAATACACAATCCGCAATTGCATGCATCCCTGGTCACCATACTTTTACAAACCCTTGCAATTTTATGCTTATAATTTAACTCACTTTATTACAACCATATAAA